GAGTAAGTTTGCAAGGCAGCCGAGGCAACAGCGGCTCACCGAGGCGTGTGGGACAGCAAGCAAAAGCAAGTAAATGCTGTACGCAATTCGAAGCTGAGCCAAGGTGAAAATCGACAAGGCAACCGCAAATGCCCGAAGTGCGCATGCACGCACGCTGCAGGAAACTGCCCTGCATACGGACGGACATGCCGAAGATGCCAACGAAAAAACCACTTCGCCGTATGTTGCAGAAACGCATCGCAAGTTGACGAGGTGGGAAGGCATGAAGACGACTTTGAAGTGCTCGATGTGTCTGTAAGAAGAGTGACAAGTTAATGTGATTGAGTCGTTCAGGCGCAAGTTCAAAGCATCAAAGTCACGCTGAAGATTGACACAGGATCACAGGCGAATTTACTGCCCTTCGGAGTGTTCCCCAGGATGCATCCGAGGCCAGCACTGAAGCCCAGCTGTGGCGTGCTTCGCCCATACAGCGGCGGTGTAATCAAACATGCAGGGATGACGCGACTGGAAGTGACGCTGAATGACCACACCGCTGCACTCGACTTCTTCGTGGTACACAAGGGTCAGGCCATCTTAGGCTTGAGGGCGAGCGAGCAACTTGGATTGATCCCGCACGTACACGCCATGTCTCGTACAAGCTCTGAAGAAATCGTCGATGAATTTCGCCAATTGTTCACCGGTACGGGCTGTGTCAAACGCGTCTACAAGATGGTCCTCAACAAGAGAACGGTGCCGGTGGTCCAACCAACTCGGCGCGTACCCCTGACTCTCCAGAAGCCCCTCAAAGAAGAACTCGAGCGCATGGAACGGGGCCACATCATCACAAAAGTCGATGAACCAACAGACTGGGTGAGTCCACTTGTAATTGCCCGAAAAAAAGACGGGAAGCTGCGCATTTGCATAGATCCTAGAAAAATAAATCAATGCCTGAAACTAGAACACTACGAGATGCCCAGACGAGAGGATAAAGAAGCCGAGTTGTCTGGCGCGACGCTGTTCTCTCGACTCCATACAAATTCAGGATGCCATCAAATCCACACGATGAAGAAACTTCTAAAACTTGCACGTTCTCCACGCCCTTCGGCCGGTACCGTTTTTTGCGATTACCGTTTGGTGTATCATCGGCATCTGAGGTTTTTCAGAAAACCTTAACAGAAATTTCGAATGGTCTTCCCGGTGTCGGGGTGTACGTTGAGGATGTCCTTATCTGGGGCACAACTCGGCAAGAGCATGACGCGCACCTGAGGTCGGCACTACACGCAGCTCAACAAGCTGGCTTAACGTTTAACCCGGCCAAATGCACAATCGGCGCACAGGAGATAGAGTATCTCGGTGACGTCATCAGCAAGCATGGCATCAGGCCGAGCCCCTCCTTGATAAAATGTATGCTCCAGACACCTGCGCCGGAGGACAAATCGGCCGTCCAAAGAAAGCTAGGAGTCGCCAATTATTTCGGCAAATACCTCCCATCACAATCCGAAAGGACTAGCCTCTTGCGAAGCCTGCTGAAGCGAGATACAATGTTTGAATGGATGTACTCGGCTGCTGACCCGCAGGTCGCGGGATCAAATCCTGGCTGTGGTGGCTGCATTTCCGATGGAGGCGGAAATGTTGTAGGCCCGTGTACTCAGATTTGGGTGCACGTTAAAGAACCCCGGGTGGTCGAAATTTCCGGAGCCCTCCACTACGGTGTCTCTCGTAATCATATAGTGGTTTTGGGACGTTAAACCCCACAAATCAATCAATCAATCAATGTTTGAATGGAGTGCCAACAACGCGCTCGAGTGGGAGCAACTTTGTGCTGACCTCAGCAGGCAGCCCGTGCTTTCAGTGTTCGACGCCACGAAAGCCACGATAGTATCATGCGATGCATCGCAGAACGGTATCGGAGCGGCGCTACTTCAGTGCAGCAATGACGTATGGAAGCCGGTCGCTTATGCCTCCCGCGTGCTAACTCAAGCAGAGCAGCGTTATTCGCAAATTGAGAACGAAGCGATGGCTTGTGTTTACGGCTGCAAACGCTTTCCCCACTTCGTATATGGCCGAAACGTTATCTTAGAGACCGACCATCACCCTTTGCTTGCTATCGCCCAAAAACCCATTGGTGATATGCCGCCCCGCCTGCAACGATCTTTCCTGCAATTGATGCGCTGACACAGAAATGCGATTCCTTCCAGCAAAGCAGCTTCTACTGGCCGACATGCTGTCGCGGGCGCCCACCTCAAGGTATGCCAGTGATGTAGGGAGCGATGATGTGGAAGTGCACGCCGTAAGTGTCGTTTCATCTCTTGTCAGTGATGACACGTGGAAACAACTAGCAGCAGAAACAAGTCGGGACTCGTATCTTAAGGCTGTGCTGCACAGTTTAGAACACGGGTTACGCATAGAGGGACAGCTGAAGCCATTCTCTAAAGAGCTGACGCAGGTGAAAGGTGTCCTCTTGAAAGGATGTAAAGTGGTGATTCCGAACAGTTTGAGGAAAGACACTGAAAGAATTCACCAAGGACACATGGGCATCAACAAATGCAAGGAAAGGGCAAGGCGACTTGTATTTTGGCCCGGCATGAACGCCGACATTGGTGCATTCGTGCAGAAATGTGCAGTGTGCAATAAGTACGCGTATACTAAGCTGCAAGAACATTTAATGATGCGCCCAATGCCCGAGATGCCGTGGCAGAAAGTTGGCATTGATATCTTTGAGTACGGTGGACGGTCGTACCTCAGCGTATACGACGCGCGGTCAAATTTTCCGGAAGTGGAGCAGTTGCGTGACACATCGGCGAGCTCTGTCATTCAGGCAACTAGCGCCATACTTTCTAGGTACGGCATTCCACTGGAAGTTCTGACACATAATGGCCCGCAATTGTCGTGTCACGAGTTCAGGTCCTTTTCGAGGGCATACGACTTCAGACACATCACATTGAGTGCAGGATATCCACAATCGAATGGTTTAGCTGAAAAAGGCGTCCAGGTCATTAGGAGAATCCTGAAAAAAAACGCATGAAGCAAAGCAAGATTTCTGGCTGGGTCTTCTTGCTTACAGGACAACGCCACTGGAGTGCGGCATGGCCCCAGCGGAGATACTGCAAGGCAGAAGACTGCGCAACACCCTGCCGGACATGGAGACCGGACCTGAACACTCCTTCGTGAAGTGCTCCCACACCAACCGCCCTGAAAGACTGCTGGCGCCGCTCGAAACAGGGGCCACGGTTCGTCTGCGTTCCAAAGGAGCATGGGCGAAGAGAGCTAAAGTCCTAAGGCCTTCCGGGCATCCAAGGTCCTACGACGTCACGACAGAAGGGCGGCAGCTGCGACGGAATTGCCGACATTTGCTGTTAACCAGCGAGGACATCAGCTCAGACCTTCCCGACAGCGGTGAGGACGTAGCGCCAGCTGCTACGGCGCTTGAGGTTCCAGTCGCGTTGCCGGGGTACATGGCCCGCGGCCCCGAGCCCGGGCACAACAGCTACACAAGCTCCAAGAAGATCACAGCGTGAACGCAAAGCGCCCAGACGGCTGGCTTACAACGAGAACTTTGTTCAAGTGCCGTGAATGAGTGCTTAACATTTTGTGAGCGTTCCAGTCGTGTTCACCTGTCAATTGTTTTATACACCAAGGAGGATGTATCATATCTTGCGCAGCATGTGCCTCGTGTCAAACCCGCCCCCTTTGATACGATAGTGCGGTGAGGGTACGCACCCTTTCTTGTCTCGCTCGGTATATAAGCACTGCTGCAATAAAGATAGAGGCTTTTCTTCCCATCGCACCCCTTCGTCATGCCTTGCTATATCGCACTAACGATACAATAAACTTGGTTTGACAGTCCTGTGGCTTGTCAGAGACCACTTTAAGGTACCTCACACATCACTACAGAATAAACAGATGCAAATATTCACCACCGAACGGCCGATTATAAAAGAACAGGGGGTTGCCTGCGATAACTACATGCTGACAGGTACGAAAACCCAGTGATTCAACGGCTCTGTTACCTGGACAATTATACATACAAAACTGTAAAGCGTGTGGAGCCAGAGCGACGCTGCAGAACATCCTGTGCGAGTGTACCGGTAGCGTGCAGCCGTCCCTTGTAAACCGGATAGACGTGACAGCTTTGAATTGCGAGGCACGATGGGAGGTGGCTCTGTAGAGCTGCGACCTCGCCTATGAAGTGTAGGCCGTCCGGCACGCCCAGGAAGTCACCCGCGTCTAAAAACTCGAGGCCGTAACCTAGGCTGGGCTGCTTGTAGGCCTACTCCGCACACTACAGCGGAACAATTTCAATAAAATTTTCATTAACCCACTCACAGCTACTACAGTTATTTTGTAGAATCTCGCGAAAATCTCATATTGAAGCAAAGGGCCAAAACCGGTTCTGCTGAGAACAACAAGATTGGCAATTCTTTAAATCTAAGATTGATTTCTTGGCCACAAGAACTCAAACATGAAAACTTACTTCCTTTTTCAGCAAAATTAAAGGTGGTACGCGGACACGCACTGACGTTCTTATTTGAACACACTCTACAATACTTTTAATCTGTGGTGTAATAGTTTGATAAAAATAAACTGCTTTGCTGGCTGGGCTTTACGTCTGAGAATTTCTGACAAAAAATAGTTCATTTATTTTGTACGTATAGTCTGTCTTCAGTTTAGGCAGCCAGGACTTCATTTTGTTTCATTTGGAGTGGGTGGTGGCTCCGACTTTCTATTATAAGCATATTGCGTCGGTATGTAAGTATTTGTTCGTAAATATATGGAATCTGTAAAAACACCCCCTTCTTCTCCTCTTGCCAAGCCTATGTTTTTCCTAACTTTGCTCTTCTTTTTATATCACTACATGAGCTATACGCCATCCTCGTTTTTTTTTCTCGCCTAATGTGCTCCTGAAGGGAGAAATTTTCATCATGGATTATATATCTCAACAAGCTTTGAAAAAGTATGTTTGAAGCACCATTCTGTGCTGCATATGTTTCCAGAGTATGCCGGTCTTTTCATTTCTCTAGTGTGCACCCCATCAGTCTGTAAAAGGCTTTGCGATGCGCAGTATAAGAAGAAAAAGAACCTGCAGTCCTCGTGCAAGGAATACTCGTGCATCTGCTCGTGGACAAAAGGTAAGTGAACGCTGTAGTGTGCATCTCTTTCCTCTGCGTCTGCCGGTGCCGACAAAGACAGCCTAATTGAACAAGTACGTGACTTTTACAGAATACTTGGCATCATATTGGGTGGTTTACGCGGATATGTTTTTATGTTTTTGTGAGAGTATCGTGTATTCACGCACCCACACGCATATATATATATATATATATATATATATATATATATATATATATATATATACATATATATATTCGATACTGTCAACTCTGTGCTTGGGGTCATTACAGGGATGGTGTCACAAAGTACATAATGTTCGCACAAAAAAGAAAAATGCAAAAGTACATATAAATACGAGATGAATAACCAACAACAGCAAAATAAGAAACAAACAACAGTGACTATACACATAAAAATCAAGAGATAAATGCTGACAACAAAATTTAGCACACATCACTACTAAGAAAACTGTCTAATGCTTTTTCGGAATTCAACGATGCTGTTTGTTGCACAACCGCATTGGGAAAAACTATTCCACATATCTATTGTGCCTGAAAAAAAGGAAAGCATTCATGCGTGTTAAATAAGGTTGAATTGCTCTACTATTGATAAGATGATGACATCGCCTGCCAGGGGGCTGAAGATATAAATACTTATTTATTTTTGTTTGCCCGCCTATGCTCTTAAAAAGAAATTTGAGGCAATGTTTGGGCCTGCGATATTCTAAGCTCACGGGACTTTAACAAACCTGTGACCGAGTGTATGCGTCGGTATCTACCGCATATAAAACGGACTGCTACTTTTTGTATTCTTTCAATTTTTCTCCACAACACCTTTTGGTGAGGCGACCACCCAATACGAGCGCACTCTAAGACAGGACGTATAAATGTTTTGTAAGCAGTTTAATTTACATCAAGTGTGATTTGATTGATTTGTGGGGTTTAACATCCCAAAACCACGATGTGACCATGAAAGACGCTGGTGTGGAGGGTTTGGAAATTTCGACCACCCAGGGTTCTTTACCGTGCACCCAAATCTGTGCACACGGGCCTACAACATTTCCGCCTCCATCGGAACTGCAGCCGCCGCAGCCGGGATTCGATCCCGCGACTTGCGGGTCAGCAGCCGAGTACCTTAGCCACTAGACCACCGCAGCGAGGCTTACATCCGGTGTGCCATGTTCCAGTTTTTCTCTTTAGGAAATAGAGTTTCTTGTTTGCCTTACAACAGATGTTATCGATATGCGTGTGCAATTTATGTGTGCACAATTCTAACTCCTAGGTATTCGATACCAGCGGCGTTATTTAAAGGTGACTTTCGATGTGATACATGAATGACAATTCCCCCCCCACTAGAGTGAATATGCGTAAATGTCGTCTTGCTATAGTTTATTTCCATGTCCCATAACATACACCACTGATCTAATGCCTGTAAGCGCCTGTTCAGATTATTTTGTTCACCTTCGCAAGTAACAGAGGAATAAATCAAGCAGTCATCTGCAAAAAGTTTCCCTTTGATAGGAGCCTTAACTATTGAACATAGATCATTAACAAATATCAGAAAAAGAATTGATCTTAAAACAGATCCTTGGGGAACGCCCGAGTACACGGCCAGTGGTCTTCAAGTGTACTTTTCAATTTTTACAGCCTGTTGACATGCGAATAAATAGGTATCTATGCATTTTAATACTTCTTCGCTTATTCCTAATCTTTCAAGCTTGAAAATAATTTACGACGAAAGACCTTATCAAAGGCTTTCTTAAAATCGACACGAATTACATCAGTTTTCAGAAGGGCATCTCTGTTTTTATTAAAATCATGGAGCGTTTCACCTAATTGTGTCACAGTAGAAAGACCTTGCTGAAACCCAAGTTGTCTTGCGCAAAATAACTGGTTAGAATCAAGTAAACTAAAAATGTGTTTCGCTATTATATGTCCCAGAACTTTACAGCAAACAGATGCCAAGGATACGGGCCGGTAAATGTTTACTAATGAACGGTTACCGTTTTTTTTATAAATCGCAATTACAACTGCATTGCGCCAGTTTTGTGGAAGTGATCGCGTCTCAACCGATTTCACAAATACTATATCTAAATAAAATGACACCCATTCGGCGTATTTCTTGAAAAACTTTGTTGATAGGTTATGCGGACCACTTCCTTTCTTCGCATCTAGCCCCACCGCGGTGGTCTAGTGGCTAAGATTCTCGGCTGCTGGCCCGCAGGTTGCGGGATTGAATCCCGGCTGTGGCGGCTGCATTTCCGATGGAGGCGGAAATGTTGTAGGCCCGTGTGCTCAGATTTGGATGCACGTTGAAGAACCCCAGGTGGTCGAAATTTCCGGAGCCCTAAACTACGGCGTCTCTCATAATCATATGGTGGTTTTGGGACGTTAAACCCCACAATTAAATCATCGATTTCTATGCATCTAGCTCAAGCAATAACTGAAAAACCCCTTTGCGGTTTATAATAACATGTTTCGTTGCGGTTGTTGCATTGTTACTGATGAATGCCACTATCTTAACGCTCAGGTCTATTGTGAAAACGAACTGAAAGAAGCAAATAAAAGTATCGGCTAAGTCCTCAATTTTTGTCAGGATACAACCCTCCTGTTCGATCTGCTCAAATCTTTCCTTTCTTTTACTAAAGTAGCGCCAGAATTCGGATGGCGTGCTTTCACGCAAGTTCATAAGCGTTTGGCCAAAGAACTTTTTTTGTAATTCACAAGGGCTTCTTTCAACTTGATTTTTATGGCTGCAATTTCCGTCGCTCTTTTTTTATTTTCCTTAATCTCTTAATTCGCAGTTTTATATGTCTAATGCTGCGTGTTATCCAAGGATTTCGTTTATGTGTTTTCCTAATTCGAGTAGGGACAAACGATCAACGCAAGTTACGATGTTGGCCTTAAATCTCTGCCACAATTCATGCACTGATTCGAAATGTTATGCTCGCTCGAAATCATTAAAGTGTAGCTCGAGAAAATCTACGATGGAAACATCATTTGACTTTTTAAAAGTTCTTTACTTTTACCGGAAAGAGCGATTTCCCTAAACTGCATGCACTAGTTTTAATGACTAAAGGCAACATATTGTGGTCGGATATGCCATCTAAAATATTTAAAACATTGTCTGTTATGTTTTGGGACAGGAACACGAAGTCTAACAATGACTTTGACGAACCTGGAACCCTCGTTGGTTCATGCACCATTTATTCCAGGCCGTGGCAGAATTTATTGTCCAAAAGTTTTTTACAGCTAATTGTTTCAGTCTCACCCGGCGAAACATTTTGCCAATCAATGTGTGGCAAGTTGAAGTCTCCAGCCATTATCAACCTCGTGCTCCCGTTAACATGGTCACACAAAAAGTCCCTTAAAAAATCCAGAAACTGAGGCTCACACGCAGGTGGTCTGTACACTGAGCCAATAATGTATACTCCATTGTTGAATGTAATCTTACACCATACAGTTTCGCGAACATCACATTGCATCAAGCAAGTGGGGATAAAACATTTGGCAATATATATATATATATATATATATATATATATATATATATATATATATATATATATACATATATATATATATATATAGAGAGAGAGAGAGAGAGAGAGACAGAGAGAGAGTCAGTGGGAGTAATGATTCATTGGGCCAGTTATTCTTCGTGAAGTTAGGGGATATGGCACAACGGGAGCGTTGTCAACAAAGATAAATATATTTATTTCTCAAAAGTTTCAGGAGGGGTCCTCCCTTCATCAGGGGATGAGTTATACTCATGTATAACTCATCCCCTGATGAAGGGTGGACCCCTCCCAAAACTGTTGGGAAATAAGTATATTTATCCTTGTTGACAACGCTCCCGTTTTGCCATATCCCATACTTATATATATATAGATATATATATATATATATATATGCAGAAGAATAAATTCGGTTGCCACAAGGTTATAAGTATGAAAGTAGATGCACTCTCGCATAACAACTGTTTATTCAGCCGACGTTTCGACGGGAGCCATGTCTTTTTCAAGGCATTATGCCTTGAAAAAGACGAGGCCTGTCGTAACTTTGGCTGAATAAACAGTTGCTATGTGAATGCGCATCTACACACACACACACACACACACACACACACACACACATATATATATATATATATATATATATATATATATATATATATATATATATATATATATATATATATATATATATATATAAATATATATATGCTTCTCTTTCGCCGATACACTCCTTTATTAAAATTTTCCTCCGGAAAAAAGGAGCCTCTCTGGTGAGTCAGTCCTCCTCAGGGGCTGTGGAACTGTAATACATCTGGAGCCTTTGAAAGTGGGCGACCTCGCGGTTACGACGTCGCATATCAGAAGGTGGTGTGAGAGGGTCAATGAGGTAGTTGACAGTGGAAGTCGTTTCTAGAACTCGGAAAGGCCCATTGTACTTCGGAAGTAGTTTGCGAGAGAGTCCTGGTGTGTGATGTTGCGCTGACAGCCAGATCAGGGTATCGGGCGGAAAAGCGGAAGTCGAATTATGGGTATTGTGGATTGCTTTCTGGTGGTTCTGTTCATCTGAGATAAAGTGGCGGGCTAGGTAGCGACATTTTTCGTCTGGTATACTGGCGTCCAAGATAGGCTGGCACTCGAAGGCTTCTGGTCTTTAGGAAAAAATGGTGTCAATGGTGTGCGAAGGGTGACAGTCGAAAAGGAGGTAAAACGGGGAAAATTTGCTTGTGGCTTGCGTCCTGGTAATATAGGCGTAGGTTATGAACAGAATAACCAAGTCCTAATTAGAATGATCAAGTGTGACATACATAGCGAGCATATAACCTAGAACTCAATTAAAACGCTCTGTGGTGCCCTTGATCTGTGGATGGTACGGTGCATGTGTAATGGACAATAGCACATCTAGCAAGTAATTTTTGATCACCTCGGATAGGAAGGCGTGGCTTCCGTCACTGAGAAGTTCTTGAGGGCCTCCAAGACGCAGCACAGAACAGAGGAGTATAA